CGGTGACAACTGCTTGTATAATATGCTTTTTATTGTAGTCCATTAATAATAGAGAGGATACTTTATTGGCCACAGATTTTATCTCATTGAATTTTAAAAAAAAGTAATTTCCACTCTATCCACATGTATTACTGCACTTACCTTAGATGTGTGTATTAGTTTTATCATATCATATTGATAATAAAATACCATTTGAGGATTGTAAATTACCATTATAGCAACAAAAGTCATGTCATTCTGCATATTCCGATGGTTTTTTTTACGTTATATTACTTCAAAGGCATCACATACAGTGAGAAAACTAGTGACAAAATATTACCTTCCCTGTAAACACTGAAAACTATATCTTCTCGATGTTTGTCCCATTTTAGCAAGGACGCTATCAATTATGGATTCATGGGAAAACGTTCTGGTAAATAGTAAAAATAGAAATAAGTTGAAATAAAAACAAAACTTCCATTTAATATTATCATTTCCCTCCTTAAGTAACAAACGACGAGTACAGTAGGCTATAGAAGCTTGACGTAAAAATGTTTTAAAATGTTGCTATGCGAATAAATTCCTGGAGTACCAACTTCAATTAATTTTTTTACTGGCGGTATACCTCTCTGGGACATGCTAATTATACGTATATGTATACAGCTAAATCAGAGAAAGTCAGGGGAAAATTCCAAAGGAATCGATTGATATGCAGCAAAGATTGGCACTTTTGAAGTTAAGTTAATAAGCAAATTCAAACGGACCCTATCTCGATGTAAACATTGAATGCGAATAGATCGAGAAGATCGCAAATACATGTAAAAAAATCGAGACGACCATTTCTTAAAATTGTATAGAAAATAGTAGAAAGATATCTACTTTATAAGAATATTTATCTTTTTTTAAATTTCTTAACCTGCACAGACAGACTTTTAAATTTCTATATTAACAAAACGAAAATATTTCTCTATTTAATGTAGATGTGCCAAGAGCAGACCGGTGTGCTCGATAACTTAGGTGTGAAAAAATAAGTATACTTTGGGAAATTGTAACATGCTAAGGACTTTGTGGAACACTCCGAAAATTAATGAACCGACAGATCTTTAGATTTTGTATGTACATGATTTTTTCCAATTTTTTTTTATCAATATGCAGCAAAGATTGGCATTTTTTAAATATCAGTTTCACAAGCTTCTAATGCAATTATCTCGATAAATACTGAAGATAAAACATCGTGTATATACATTTATTAATTAACTACTGTGTTGGACCTAATATGATGATAACTGCCTTTGCTATACAAAAGTATCAACTCGGCCAATATGGATTTTTTCCGTATTGGCCGAGTTCTGCTCCGGCCAATACAGGATTTCGGAACGCCTCTAGTTTTTAGATCGAAAATCATGATAAACACAAACTTAATGTAAACTGTCGTTTTGAAGACGCTGTTTTATTTTCTCACCATAAACATGCCGAAACGTTTATTGTGGCAAATATTTCAGGCTGAAGACGGTCACATGCATTTAAAAACGCATTTTATAAGCAGACAATAGAATTATTTCAGGTTTGGGCAACGAGTCTGTAGATTATCACAAAGCTCATTTCTTGGCGATCACATAAATATTTAAAACATTTTATCAGTTTAACGGGTGCATTTCAATTTACCGTTTACTTTCGCTTCTCATGTTTTTGTTAGGTATCGTATATTTTTCAACCCGAACCAGGCATATCGATTGTTGAAGGATGGCCTGTAATCTATTGTTCAAGTATGGGTAGTTGTCTCATTGGCAATCATATTCAACTCCTAGCTTTATTAAACCTTTTGTTTCTGAATCTCTCATGCAATGGCAGTACCTTTTCAATTACTATATATGTGTTGCATCTAAATATGTATTGTAACACTTTATAGTGACTGAAAAGGGTTAACAAATCATCAAATAATGAAGAAGACCCTTCCATACATCACAAGATCATTTGACTGGTTTGGATAGTTAAATTTCAAGATAAACATGTTAAAATCTTGTGAAAGAAAATAAAAAAAAAACCAGGTAAACACTGTAGTCAATTAATAAAGATATCATTACGTGATTATTTGTGTATTGGCCTTGTTATTGGTCCGATGCCAGCTGTATTGGCCTTCGGCTTCGCTTCAGGCCAATACAGCAAGCCTCGTACCAATCAAAAGGCCAATACAGAAATAATCACATAATAATATCATAGTATATTTCTAATAACACAGTTTAACAAATAATTTCTTTAAAATGTACAATTATTATGTAGAAATAACTTTTGATCAGTATCGTTACCGGCATTGTTTTATTATTGACTTTCTCGACTCTATCATAAGAAGAGTGAATTTTCTTTTGTTTTCGTTCCCTAGATTTCCCACTGCATTTACATCACTTTTACTGGTGCTACGGTTGTAAACTGTATTTGAGACCGTTTAGTCCCTAATAGGGAATGGCAACTACTCAAGTACATTATTTTAATTGTTTTAATGAACGAGGGAACAATAAACTTTCATTATTCTTGAATGAAAAAAGGATAGGAGTAAAACTTATTTCAGGAAGATTTAAAACAAAATCATATAAAAGCTATCTTAAAAAGCGATGACGGCCTAGACATTTTTTTTGCAGTCGTCAAAGTTTAGATAAATAGACAAAATATTTAAACGTTTGCCAGTCTCAGAGTGTACTGGAGTTCATTCCCGAAAAAAAACTTGCTCTTTATCTGTTTTTATTCACAGGAAAACAATCTATTGCATAGATTATTAGGTACTGAAGCTTTAACAACCATACCATCGACTAAGTGCATCATTTGTATTATCAGATATATATGTGTGGGAAATGGCTGATGGTGCATACTACCATTCAATGGTAAAATTATCTGGAATTATATCTGTTAATAGGCTTACTTTTTTCTGTGATTTATTTCAATAATCAGAGCTTATTTCTACAGCAATTAATCAAATGAAATTGACAGCATTTAAGTGATCCTCTTGACTATGTGATATGCCGCCTTCGTTCATTACGTCGAAGTCCTGATAGCAAAATTGCCTTTTTAGTCAAAAATCCCTAGATATAACACAAAACGAGCAACGTAGTCACGATCATCTACAAAAATGCGTATTTACAAAGCGATCATTCCTTGATTATTCTTGGATTCTTTGTGCAAAATTTAATAATACATGGAAAGAGATATTATAACTTTTCAGATAAAGTTACATGCATGTTTCAAACCTTTCCTGAACATTGAGCCAACAAAATCATCGAAACTTATAGGAGTCCATTATACAAATCGCATTATTACCGAAGGAAGCACTTACCTTCACAACTGGTATTGTCGTTTCTATACTTCAATCAGCATATATAGTCAAGTGCATTAATGGAATATTTCAGCAGATTTATAAACTTATTAATGATGTTGATTGTCTGTCAAGTATCAAATTTGACTAATACTGGTGTCTTAATCAGAACCGCGTAGTTATTTATAAAAAATATTCGGAAATTTACTTATTTCTTATATCTATTGGTAAGATGAAGTAGGCATTTTTTTTTGGATGAAAAGAGATATATATTTATCTACTATTATTCACAGTAGTCGTCAGAATATTATACATAATGACGCCAAGTATATAAAATCCTGGTTTGTTTAGTTATAATATGCTTAATGCATATATAATAGTAAAATGTATGTATCTATCTTAAGATGGCAGTCAGCAGGGTTTAAGAACATACGTTGTTCGACCTGCTTGTCAAATGCATTTTGTTAAAATGTACTTTTTCACTTTTTTGGTCTTTTGGAAAATGTTGTTTGTGCTGTATTTAGACCCCTCTTCCAAGAAATTTGTTTTGCATGCACACGTATAAAAATTGCGGTTTTTATCCAACGCAATCATAGGTTTGAACGTTGTTTTCAATTTAGACTTGTCTATCTTAAGATATATATAATTCGTCTAAATAACAGCCCAACAATGTTAGATCTGTAAATTTGCGTTAGCAAATTTTTTGTTCTTCTCTGGCCAGTATTCGAACTCATGCTACTGAGATATCGTGGCACCAAATCGCCTTGCACTGTGCCCGACGCGCTAGACCACTCGACCACCTAGGTTCTACAATAATAAAGCTTTCGGTGGCCGGGTGTTACCTCTTAAGATATATATATATATTATACACAAACACAATTTTTTTTTTCATTATTTGTTTTGGTGAAAGAATAATGATCACTTGTGCATGTTGTAGAGTTTACTCAGAGATTACCACCATAAGAATGACAGGGTATAAACAATTGGTCACTTAGATTTATTCCGTCCGGCAGTAAGACCCATGCTGAAAGAAACTATATTTTATATTGCGGGATCTGACAAAGATTAAGAAGTCTAAAGTCAATCATATATTTATTATAAAAAGGCGTGTCCTTTCCATGCGATTTCCATTGACAGGAAACACAGTTCTACTCACAAACGAATATTTAAATGCAATGATGAAACCATTAACTAGACTGAAACATTGCAGTCGTATTAATGTTCTACCGTTTCATTCAAACATATCTTGAATTTTAGTATTTATCTTTTGAATATTTTCTTTTTCTACAACGGAACTATCGAGTTTTTTTTTTTAGATTATTATTTATTTTGATATTATTGTTAGTACACAGATATGCATGTTCAGTTGAGCGTTTTAAATAATGGTTTGTTTAAAAACAATTGCTCTTATATTCCTTAAAATGCCACAGATCATTAAATGTTAACAAAGAATGTGCAACTTGTGAATAAACTTCTCATAAATACCAGACTTAAATATTTGTACGCCAGACGCGCGTTTAATCTTCAAAAGACTCATCAGTGACGCTCGAATCAAATAAGGTGAATTAGGCCAAATAGATGAAATATGCCGCGCTTCAACTTCGTTTCATGGATTAAGCTGGTAATCCACTAAGTTACATCTGACCATTTTTCTTATTTTTATGACCCAGACTGTTATATAATGATTTATGTAGATACTTTATCTGTTCTGTTCCAGCAAACAATGTTCCATGCAGACGACGATAATAGATCTCTAAGTATAGCACCAGTAGAATGCTTGTAAATCGGCCTGAAATGCATACTTCGGTAAGTAGTCGGAATGTATTTTACAGTCTATTTTCTTCTGGTACGTGTAAATTGCATCTAAAATTGAGAATGGAAATGGGGAATGTGTCAAAGAGACAACAACCCGACCATAGAGCAGACAACAGCCTAGTCTGAATTCATATGATCTCTGAAGGTAATTGCCATTATTGAAATGACAGCGGCTATCTATTGTCCATAATCTTGGACGATTTTGTAGACCCATTAAATTAGACTAATGTTAGAAAGCGAATGCATTGAATAATTCTTGTGATATTCATTCTATTTAAGTTGATATTCATTGGTGATAAAACAATAGAAGCATAATTATCAAACACGGTTAATATACGCAGATTAATGTAAAAAGTGTTATATTTTATTATTATTTCATTGTTCTGAATAAAATATCAGGAAAAAGAGCAAGTACAACCTTTTACAAATGTTTTTTTTTTTAACACTTACATAAAACAAACATATGTGCCAATAGGACACCTTGAAACAATTGCACAATCACATTTCCGTGTTTAGTCAACCGCTAAATCTAAGTCAAGACCATAAGTTTTTTTTTTGTTATTTGTTTTACCAGCTGCAAACCGTAAGCGGACTCAATCAATTCGGATGAAAACATTATGACGCCGCTGATAAGTCCGGGTCAAAGTTATAAACACTGGATCATCATTGTTGGCGTAACAAAGCCATAATATGCAATTAATATTGATACAGGCAAGGGGAAGGCCGATAAAACAAATACTTTCACGTTAAAACAAAACATTTGGCAAAATAATCGAAACTGTACATGCGTTAAAATTCAAGCATATTAATTTTTATACCTGGTTCTAAAATGTTTCTATAAAATGTTTCAAAACAACTTTTTTACTATTTGTCCGCCATTACTAGACATCACAAAAGTTCCCGTCAACTTTTGATGTCGCTATAAAATGTCTGACGCCTTAAATGAGTACTGATTTTTGTATGACGTCAATAGTTCAAGTGTCGCAAATTAGCTAAGAGAAATAAGATTCCCACTCCTTAAGAATCTTTAACCTTTATCACAAGGCCCTTGTAGTGAGAGAGAGAAAGTAGGTATCAGTGCTACGACTGAAATGGATAAGATTAATGATTTATATTTGCTATTAAACAGGTTGAACGTAAATCATTTCAAAATAGTTTTTATTTTCAATTTCTTCTATATAAAGTCAATAAAATCTGCAAAATAAATTAATTGTGACACATAATTAGAATCGCAGACTTTAGATGAGAAAACAATTTACAGCAAAATCTAATATTTTTCAGACATGTTACAATAAATACGAAACGACGTTGGAAATAATTAAATTATTTAACAGAGTATGAATACTTTGATAGACAGTACATTTATATATTATCCTTGTCTGTTCATGCAGACTTCGGGATTGTCAGCGGACTGGACAAGACTTAATATAATATTGAAGTGTATCCGTATTCTTGCAATGAACACAAATTCAAAACTAAGAGATTATAGAATAATTGTGAAGAATGACAACACTGGTCAAATATAAAATTAAATATGCAATCCCGACTACTTTACAAAACAGTTAACGCATCAATCAGCAATGGAAACTTTTAAATGATATCTATATTATATAACTGTACGAAATGATTATGATCGACGATAAAAAAAAAAGAAACCGATTTTAACAAAGTCTTTAAAGAATTTTCACGCGTCCATGACTCCATGACTCAATTGTCGTTAGGAACGAAGGTAATTGATGAAGTTTGTTCTTATAACGTAATTGTGTATGCATGGTTTAAACAATTTCTAGGGGAATATTATGTCCAAATTAGCAACACAACGGCTGCCACATGTAGAGTAGGAACTGCTTACCCTTCCGGGGCACCTGAGTTCACTTCTGAATTTTGATAGGGTTCATGTTACTCAATCTTTGGTTTTCTTTGTGGTGTTTTGTTTTGCTGTATGTAATTTCGGCGGTTTTGATTTTGTACTGTGATGTCTGTTCTTATTGGGCTTGTAAATTTTGATGTTACCTTGGTATCTTCTTTCTCATTCTATACTTTGCAAAAATGACATTGATCAAAAAGTTGTAAAACATTTATAATAATTCAATGAGTAATAATTAAAATCTTCCGTTTAGAAATTTAGAAATAAGTTATTCAGGTTTGCCAACACGCTTGCATATCTTGCTTTTCTTGTAACCATGGAAAGTTCGTTAACAGTAGAGATGAAATACATAGTTTATTGGCCATATATTTTATCTCATTGAATATTAGAAAATATAATTTCCACTCAATCCGTCATATTATATTATATTGAGAGTAAAATAGCATCGGAGGATTGTAAGTTACCATTATAGCAACAAAAGTCACGTCATTCTGCATATTCAGATGGTTATTTCATTGCGCTTATAATGATTCTAACACATTTACATGTACTTCACAAACACTTTTTTACTGTTTTACTGTTCATGTGCTAGTAAATCCCCTATAGGCAATGGCGGTGACCTCTTAAACAATTTATCATCGTCGTCATAGTTTGGTTTAAAAGACTAAATATTTAACGTTTGCCAAAGTCTCAGGTTGTACTGATGTTCATTGCGCCTTGTTCCAGAAAATAAATTTGCTCTTTAGCTGTTATTGTCCCAGGAAACAATTTATCGATTAGATTATTAGGAACTAAAGCTTTAACAACCATACCATCGACTAAGTGCATCATTTATAAGTGTGGGAAATGGCTGATGATGCAAACTAAAATTCAACGGCAAAATTATCTGGCATTAAATCTCTAAATAGACTTACTATTCTCTATGATTTTTGTCGAGCCTTCGACTTTTGTCGAAAAAGCGAGACATAGCGATCCTACATTCCGTCGGCGTCGTCGGCGTCGTCGTCGTCGTCGTCGGCGGCGGCGGCGTCCACAAATATTCACTCTGTGGTTAAAGTTTTTGAAATTTTAATAACTTTCTTAAACTATCCTGGATTTCTACCAAACTTGGACAGAAGCTTGTTTATGATTAAAAGCTAATATCTAGAAGAACATTTTGTTAAAATTTAATTCCATTTTTTCCGTATTTTACTTATAAATGGACTTAGTTTTTCTTCCAGTTAACATTACATACAGTCTGCAGTTTAAGTTTTTAAAACATTTATTAGATTCATAAACTATCCTGGATTTTTACCAAACTTGGACAGAAGCTACTTACAATCAAAAGATAGTATAGAGAGGAATATTTTTATCAATTTTTTTTCCTCATTTTTGTTGAGCCTGCAATTAACAGCAAAAGTAGGCGAGACACTGGGTTCCGCGGAACCCTTACGAATTTTTCAATAATCAGAGCTAATTTTTACAGCAGTTAATCAACTGAAATTGACAGTGAACCTTTTGACTTTGCGACATGCCGCATTCATTTGGAATCATGATAGCAAAATTGCTTTTTAAGTAAAAAATTATCGATAGACCCAACAAGCAACGAATTACGTAGTCACGATCATCTAACAAAACAGGTACGTTCGTAACAATCATTCCATTTTTGTAATTGCAAAAGTTAACAATGAACGAAAAGGTGTAATATAACTTCAGATAAAGTTACTTGCATGTTTCAAACCTTTCCTGCATACTGAGCAAAGGAAAACGTCCGAGTCCTTTATCAAGATTACAGAACAATAACAAATAATAATCTGACTCGCGTTTGAGTATGAGCTGTACCCAAGAAAGAATTTACAAAAAAGAGTAAAATAACCAAAATACCGAACTCCAAGGAAAATTCAAAACGGAAAGTCCTTTATCAAATGGCAAAATCAAAAGCTCAAACACATCAAACGAATGGAAACAACTGTCATATTCCTGAATTAATACAGGCATTTCTTTATGTAGAAAATTGTGGATTAAACTTGGTTTTATTGCTAGCTAAACCTCTCACCTGTACAACTGGTAGTTGTCGTTTTTATGCTTCAATCATCTTGTTTATTCAAGTGCATTAATGGAATATTTCGACAGATTTATAAACTTATTAATGACGTAGATTGCCTGTCGAGTGTCAGATTTGTCTCATACTGGTATCTAATTTAAAACCGCGTAGTAATTAATACAAAATATCCTGAAATTTACTTATTTCTTACATCCAGTTGTAAAATGAAGTTGGCATGCAGTAGGTATGTTGGTTCCATTTTTAATCAAACAGCGCCTTCAAGTGTGTCATTTTCCTTTTAGGTATTTTTGTATGTGAACCTTTACGAATTCTTTTATGAATAAAAAAGAATGTATAATTAACTACTGCTATGGAAAGTCGTTTTCTGAATATGATTCAAAATGACGACAAGTATATCAAATATAAAAATAGGGAAATGTAGTGTGATTGTCAAAGAAACAAATATCCAGCAGATTTCAAATGAACTGGATGTAAGAAAATATAGGCCAATGTACGATCTTCAACAATGAGAAAAAACCATACCGTGTACCCGGCCATGAAAGGCCCCGACATGAAACAAATGTGAAACCATTTAAACAAGAAAACTATGTTGGTTTGTTTGGATTTTTTTTATGCCAAACGCAATATATATTCTGGAATTCACGCATCTATCTAAAGATACACATTCTACACACAATTGTATTTTTTTCAATGAAAAATATTTTTTACTTAGTAGAGTTTACTATCCTTAGGATGATAGGGTAGAAACATATTGTCGCCTTGGTTTACTCGTCCAGTACATACATGAAATATTTGCCACTGGACGTTGAGCAACCAACAATCAATCAATCAATCTTGATGTATCATGTGAGGCAGTACAACCCATGCTGAAAGAAAGACGTCCATTTTCCTGTACCAGATTCATTAATACAAAGCCAAACTCAGCCAAAATAGGAATTTCTAACTCGTTATTCTCTTTATTTGAAGCTATTACTCATTTAATTTCAAATTAGGGCAATAATAGGAGATAAGTATCCTCTGCTAATTTAAGAAAGAAGTATAGGCCTTAATATTTGATATCAAATATAAATAAGGAGATGT